GCCTCAAAAGTGCCGTAGTCGTCCGTGCCGCCTTTTGAGGCGCCTCAAAAGTGCCGTAGTCGTCCGTGCCGCCTTTTGAGGCGCCTCAAAAGTGCCGTAGTCGTCCGTGCCGCCTTTTGAGGCGCCTCAAAAGTGCCGTAGTCGTCCGTGCCGCCTTTTGAGGCGCCTCAAAAGTGCCGTAGTCGTCCGTGCCGCCTTTTGAGGCGCCTCAAAAGTGCCGTAGTCGTCCGTGCCGCCTTTTGAGGCGCCTCAAAAGTGCCGTAGTCGTCCGTGCCGCCTTTGAGGCGCCTCAAAATGCCGTAGTCGTCCGTGCCGCCTTTTGAGGCGCCTCAAAAGTGCCGTAGTCGTCCGTGCCGCCTTTTGAGGCGCCTCAAAAGTGCCGTAGTCGTCCGTGCCGCCTTTTGAGGCGCCTCAAAAGTGCCGTAGTCGTCCGTGCCGCCTTTTGAGGCGCCTCAAAAGTGCCGTAGTCGTCCGTGCCGCCTTTTGAGGCGCCTCAAAAGTGCCGTAGTCGTCCGTGCCGCCTTTTGAGGCGCCTCAAAAGTGCCGTAGTCGTCCGTGCCGCCTTTTGAGGCGCCTCAAAAGTGCCGTAGTCGTCCGTGCCGCCTTTTGAGGCGCCTCAAAAGTGCCGTAGTCGTCCGTGCCGCCTTTTGAGGCGCCTCAAAAGTGCCGTAGTCGTCCGTGCCGCCTTTTGAGGCGCCTCAAAAGTGCCGTAGTCGTCCGTGCCGCCTTTTGAGGCGCCTCAAAAGTGCCGTAGTCGTCCGTGCCGCCTTTTGAGGCGCCTCAAAAGTGCCGTAGTCGTCCGTGCCGCCTTTTGAGGCGCCTCAAAAGTGCCGTAGTCGTCCGTGCCGCCTTTTGAGGCGCCTCAAAAGTGCCGTAGTCGTCCGTGCCGCCTTTTGAGGCGCCTCAAAAGTGCCGTACTCGTCCGTGCCGCCTTTTGAGGCGCCTCAAAAGTGCCGTAGTCGTCCGTGCCGCCTTTTGAGGCGCCTCAAAAGTGCCGTAGTCGTCCGTGCCGCCTTTTGAGGCGCCTCAAAAGTGCCGTAGTCGTCCGTGCCGCCTTTTGAGGCGCCTCAAAAGTGCCGTAGTCGTCCGTGCCGCCTTTTGAGGCGCCTCAAAAGTGCCGTAGTCGTCCGTGCCGCCTTTTGAGGCGCCTCAAAAGTGCCGTAGTCGTCCGGCGCTTTTGAGCGCTCAAAAGTGCGTATCGTCCGTGCCGCCTTTTGAGGCGCCTCAAAAGTGCCGTAGTCGTCCGTGCCGCCTTTTGAGGCGCCTCAAAAGTGCCGTAGTCTTTTAGTCGTCCGTGCCGCCTTTTGAGGCGCCTCAAAAGTGCCGTAGTCGTCCGTGCCGCCTTTTGAGGCGCCTCAAAAGTGCCGTAGTCGTCCGTGCCGCCTTTTGAGGCGCCTCAAAAGTGCCGTAGTCGTCCGTGCCGCCTTTTGAGGCGCCTCAAAAGTGCCGTAGTCGTCCGTGCCGCCTTTTGAGGCGCCTCAAAAGTGCCGTAGTCGTCCGTGCCGCCTTTTGAGGCGCCTCAAAAGTGCCGTAGTCGTCCGTGCCGCCTTTTGAGGCGCCTCTTTTGTTTTGAGGCGCCTCAAAAGTGCCGTAGTCGTCCGTGCCGCCTTTTGAGGCGCCTCAAAAGTGCCGTAGTCGTCCGTGCCGCCTTTTGAGGCGCCTCAAAAGTGCCGTAGTCGTCCGTGCCGCCTTTTGAGGCGCCTCAAAAGTGCCGTACTCGTCCGTGCCGCCTTTTGAGGCGCCTCAAAAGTGCCGTAGTCGTCCGTGCCGCCTTTTGAGGCGCCTCAAAAGTGCCGTACTCGTCCGTGCCGCCTTTTGAGGCGCCTCAAAAGTGCCGTACTCGTCCGTGCCGCCTTTTGAGGCGCCTCAAAAGTGCCGTAGTCGTCCGTGCCGCCTTTTGAGGCGCCTCAAAAGTGCCGTAGTCGTCCGTGCCGCCTTTTGAGGCGCCTCAAAAGTGCCGTAGTCGTCCGTGCCGCCTTTTGAGGCGCCTCAAAAGTGCCGTAGTCGTCCGTGCCGCCTTTTGAGGCGCCTCAAAAGTGCCGTAGTCGTCCGTGCCGCCTTTTGAGGCGCCTCAAAAGTGCCGTAGTCGTCCGTGCCGCCTTTTGAGGCGCCTCAAAAGTGCCGTAGTCGTCCGTGCCGCCTTTTGAGGCGCCTCAAAAGTGCCGTAGTCGTCCGTGCCGCCTTTTGAGGCGCCTCAAAAGTGCCGTAGTCGTCCGTGCCGCCTTTTGAGGCGCCTCAAAAGTGCCGTAGTCGTCCGTGCCGCCTTTTGAGGCGCCTCAAAAGTGCCGTAGTCGTCCGTGCCGCCTTTTGAGGCGCCTCAAAAGTGCCGTAGTCGTCCGTGCCGCCTTTTGAGGCGCCTCAAAAGTGCCGTACTCGTCCGTGCCGCCTTTTGAGGCGCCTCAAAAGTGCCGTAGTCGTCCGTGCCGCCTTTTGAGGCGCCTCAAAAGTGCCGTAGTCGTCCGTGCCGCCTTTTGAGGCGCCTCAAAAGTGCCGTAGTCGTCCGTGCCGCCTTTTGAGGCGCCTCAAAAGTGCCGTAGTCGTCCGTGCCGCCTTTTGAGGCGCCTCAAAAGTGCCGTAGTCGTCCGTGCCGCCTTTTGAGGCGCCTCAAAAGTGCCGTAGTCGTCCGTGCCGCCTTTTGAGGCGCCTCAAAAGTGCCGTAGTCGTCCGTGCCGCCTTTTGAGGCGCCTCAAAAGTGCCGTAGTCGTCCGTGCCGCCTTTTGAGGCGCCTCAAAAGTGCCGTAGTCGTCCGTGCCGCCTTTTGAGGCGCCTCAAAAGTGCCGTAGTCGTCCGTGCCGCCTTTTGAGGCGCCTCAAAAGTGCCGTAGTCGTCCGTGCCGCCTTTTGAGGCGCCTCAAAAGTGCCGTAGTCGTCCGTGCCGCCTTTTGAGGCGCCTCAAAAGTGCCGTACTCGTCCGTGCCGCCTTTTGAGGCGCCTCAAAAGTGCCGTAGTCGTCCGTGCCGCCTTTTGAGGCGCCTCAAAAGTGCCGTAGTCGTCCGTGCCGCCTTTTGAGGCGCCTCAAAAGTGCCGTAGTCGTCCGTGCCGCTTTTGAGGCGCCTCAAAAGTGCCGTAGTCGTCCGTGCCGCATTTTGAGGCGCCTCAAAAGTGCCGTAGTCGTCCGTGCCGCCTTTTGAGGCGCCTCAAAAGTGCCGTAGTCGTCCGTGCCGCCTTTTGAGGCGCCTCAAAAGTGCCGTACTCGTCCGTGCCGCCTTTTGAGGCGCCTCAAAAGTGCCGTAGTGCCGTGCCTTTGAGGCCTCAAAAGTGCCGTACTTGTCCGTGACGCATTTTGAGGCGCCTCAAAAGTGCCGTAGTCGTCCGTGCCGCCTTTTGAGGCACCTCAAAAGTGCCGTACTCGTCCGTGCCGCCTTTTGAGGCGCCTCAAAAGTGCCGTAGTTGTCCGTGCCGCCTTTTGAGGCGCCTCAAAAGTGCCGTAGTCGTCTGTGCCGCCTTTTGAGGCGCCTCAAAAGTGCCGTAGTCGTCTGTGCCGCTTTTTGAGGCGCCTCAAAAGTGCCGTAGTCGTCCGTGCCGCCTTTTGAGGCGCCTCAAAAGTGCCGTAGTCGTCCGTGCCGCCTTTTGAGGCGCCTCAAAAGTGCCGTAGTCGTCCGTGCCGCCTTTTGAGGCGCCTCAAAAGTGCCGTAGTCGTCCGTGCCGCATTTTGAGGTGCCTCAAAAGTGCCGTAGTCGTCCGTGCCGCCTTTTGAGGCGCCTCAAAAGTGCCGTAGTCGTCCGTGCCGCCTTTTGAGGCGCCTCAAAAGTGCCGTACTCGTCCGTGCCGCCTTTTGAGGCGCCTCAAAAGTGCCGTACTTGTCCGTGACGCATTTTGAGGCGCCTCAAAAGTGCCGTAGTCGTCCGTGCCGCCTTTTGAGGCACCTCAAAAGTGCCGTACTCGTCCGTGCCGCCTTTTGAGGCGCCTCAAAAGTGCCGTAGTTGTCCGTGCCGCCTTTTGAGGCGCCTCAAAAGTGCCGTAGTCGTCTGTGCTGGCTTTTGAGGCGCCTCAAAAGTGCCGTAGTCGTCTGTGCCGCTTTTTGAGGCGCCTCAAAAGTGCCGTAGTCGTCCGTGACGCATTTTGAGGCGCCTCAAAAGTGCCATAGTTGTCCGTGCCGCCTTTTGAGGCGCCTCAAAAGTGCCGTACTCGTCCGTGCCGCCTTTTGAGGCGCCTCAAAAGTGCCGTAGTTGTCCGTGCCGCCTTTTGAGGCGCCTCAAAAGTGCCGTAGTCGTCTGTGCTGGCTTTTGGGGCGCCTCAAAAGTGCCGTAGTCGTCTGTGCCGCTTTTTGAGGCGCCTCAAAAGTGCCGTAGTCGTCCGTGCCGCCTTTTGAGGCGCCTCAAAAGTGCCATAGTTGTCCGTGCCGCCTTTTGAGGCGCCTCAAAAGTGCCGTACTCGTCCGTGCCGCCTTTTGAGGCGCCTCAAAAGTGCCGCAGTTGTCCGTGCCGCCTTTTGAGGCGCCTCAAAAGTGCCGTAGTCGTCTGTGCTGGCTTTTGAGGCGCCTCAAAAGTGCCGTAGTCGTCTGTGCCGCTTTTTGAGGCGCCTCAAAAGGGCCGTAGTCGTCCGTGCCGCCTTTTGAGGCGCCTCAAAAGTGCCATAGTTGTCCGTGCCGCCTTTTGAGGCGCCTCAAAAGTGCCGTACTCGTCCGTGCCGCCTTTAGAGGCGCCTCAAAAGTGCCGTAGTCGTCCGTGCCGCCTTTTGAGGGGCCTCAAAAGTGCTGTAGTCGTCCGTGCCGCCTTTTGAGGCGCCTCAAACGTGCCGTACTCGTCCGTGCCGCCTTTTGAGGCGCCTCAAAAGTGCCGTACTCGTCCGTGCCGCCTTTTGAGGCGCCTCAAGAGTGCCGTAGTCGTCCGTGACGCCTTTTGAGGCGCCTCAAAAGTGCCGTAGTCGTCCGTGACGCATTTTGAGGCGCCTCAAAAGTGCCGTAGTCGTCCGTGCCGCACATGAAGATGGAGATCACTCTGTGACCCACACCTGCCTGCCTGCCTCTCTTACCTGTCACATTACACCCCACTTTCTCACTTGTCGCATATCTGCCGGGGAGTGACCTTCTCCTCCATGGCCTTGGTCTCGGTGGCCGTGCCGTACTCGTCCGTGCCGCACATGAAGATCACGTTGTACCCGCGCAGCCGGCAGTACCGCGCAAACACGTCCGCGCTCAAAACGCCTGTGGGGGAGAGGGGAGAGGGGAGAGGGGAGAGGGGAGAGGGGAGCGGGGCGGGGAGCGGGTCGAGGAGCGAGGGGCGAGGGGCGAGGGGCGAGGTGAGAGGGGAGAGGGGTGTGGCCGGTGGGAGCAGGGGGTGGCCGAGGGGGGGCCTCTTTTAAGGAGCCCTGAATGTAACAGTGCCGTGCAGACATGTCAGCACTCAACACACCTGGGGCACAACGCACAAGAGGGGAGCAGAAAATGTGGGGGGGGAGAGGGAAGGAGATTCTTGAGCCAAACAAAAAATCACCCTGAACGAAACAGTGCCGTGCAGACATGTCAGCGCTCAGCAAACCTGGGGAACAACGCACAAGGGGGGAGCAGGGAATGCTGGGGGGGGGGAGGAGGGGAAGGGGGGAGGGGAGGGAGCGAGACTTCTAAGAGACTCAGATTTATAGAAATCCCATTCTGACATGATCGGTCGGGCTTTTCCCAACGCACCCTCCTGTCATATATCCACGAGCTCAACATTATTTAACTCACATCCAATGATATTCCCAAGGTGCGGAACATTATCCAACTCACATCCAATGATGTTCCTCACGGTGCGGCACGTTATTCAACTCACATCCGATGATGTTCCCAAGGTGCGGCACGTTATTCAACTCACATCCGATGATGTTCCCAAGGTGCGGCACGTTATTCAACTCATATCCGATGATGTTCCTAAGGTGCGGCACGTTATTCAACTCACATCCGATGATGTTCCTAAGGTGCGGCACGTTATTCAACTCACATCCGATGATGTTCCCAAGGTGCGGCACGTTATTCACGTAGGGCAGCGCACTCGTCACCATCACATTCCGCTTGCCAGGCTCGGGCAGCTTCACAACATTTTTCTCAACCTGCCCGGGTGCCACGGCCATCTGCGAGGCGAACTGGGCAGCAGCTGACTGAACGAACGCCTCCGGGGAAGCAGAGCCGAGCGCTGCAGTTACAGCAGCCGTGAAACGAGAGTCGCTCTCCCATGTCCTTCAGCAAGGGAGGACAAGGGGAAGATGGAAAAAAAGGGGAAGGGAGAGAGGACGGGGGGGGGGGAGCGGGAGGAGGGAAAGGGCGAGGTGGAAATGTGAGAATGAATTGCATTGGTCCATCACAGCAATCCAGCTTGCTATGCCCATCCCCACCCTCCTCCCCCCTCTCCCCTTCTTCTCCCCACGCCCCTCCTCTCCATCAGAAGCACCTCAACAAGAGTAAGAGCCCCTGATTTTCACCTGAACCACTTGGCCAGCGGCGACTCGGAGTCCGACGAAAGCTTGCCGCCCGGGCCAAACAGCAGCAGCAGATCGCTCCAAACAGCAAGATCCACAAGAGACAGATCAGTGCCGCCCAGAATGTGCTTGGGGTGGGCGGCAAACGCCTGCTCAAGGCGGTCGGAGACGTCTTTTGTGGGACCTTGGATGTGGCCTGCTGCTGCTGCCAGCACCTGAGGCTGCAGTACAGTCACCTCCCAATACAGCCACTCCTCCACACCTGTACATGTGCAGATAAACATGTAGGTAAAAGGCATGCTTAAGTTTACTAAAAAATCAATAGTCGCCTCGCCTCCCAATACAGCCACTCCTCCGCACCTAAACATGTGCAAAAAAACTGGTAATGGAGATACTTTGAGTCGACTCAAAAGTCATTACAGTCACCTCTCAATACAGTCACAGGGCAGCAGCACCTGCTTAACGTCCATGGTGCAATATCAGCGTGACAATAACAGAGTCAACTAAAAAAAGCACAAGATTTCCCGTTAACCCCCGAACCCTCTCAGGTACTGACAATCACACACACACACTCTGCAAACTGTGGTTATATAAAAGGTTCAGTGTTGCCGAAGAGATCCAGGCACTAAAGAAACGGACAGAGGAGTTCTATGGCTAGTGGGCTGGCAGGCATGTGGAGGCTGGCTGGTAGAGACGGACTACTGGAGAAAGGGGGGAATGGGCGACGGAAGCGAACGGGCGACGAAGGTGAAACGGCGACGAATGCGAAAGGGCGACGAATGCGAAGGGGGACGGCCGCGAAGGGGGAAGTGAGCGAATGCGCGACGGATCATGCGAAAGGGCGAGGAACGCGAGCGGGCGAATGCGGATGCACGACACAGGGGAATGGGATTACGCAATGGGGGTGAAGACGTCTGGCCCATATGGGGGAATACACGACTCAAGTAGACTCACGAAGCCATCGACATCAACACGCGAAATGCTTCGCAGTTGCTGGAAAACGAAAACGACACTAACGGAACAGGCCCTCCAGAGATCCGCAAATAGGTATCCCAAGGTGACTTTTGAGTCGACTCAAAAGATCCGCAGATAGGTACCCCAAGACCAACACGGGGAAGGAAGAGGAGAGGATCGGACGAGACGGACGTACGGATGGCATCCACAGAGCTATCGAGGTGACTTTTGAGTCGACTCAAAAGTCACCGCGCTTATCGTGAGGGAAGCGGAGGGGAGCGGAGGGGATCGGACGAGACGGACGTACGGATGGCTTCCACAGAGCTATCGGCGGGAAGCAGCGTCACCCCTGCTGCTCCGCTTCCCGCGGCGATGAATCGGGCGGCTGCTACAGTATCGTACAGGCGAAGACCGTCGGGCCCCGCCAAACACGGCGCAGCGCCGAAAATGGGATCGTCGCGCGGACCCGCGGCTTGACGGCCCGAAGCGGCGGCGGAAGGGGGAGGGGAGGCGATCGGGAGAGTGATTCCCGCGATAGACGCTGTGAGGGAGGGGAGGACGGCTCGGTAATCACCCGGAGCCGCAGTTAGCGTGAGGTCCGGCATGTTCGCTAGAATCAATAGGACTGTGGGGTTGCCAGAACGGAAGCGTGTATGCTGCTGATCGCGAGCTTGCACAAGATAGTTTTTGATCTATGATCTGGTGATCACACCCTCAAGTTGAGTGTACGGGAGATTCTCGAAGTCCACAGGATGTGGATTCGCGGTAAAGTTATCAAGGCCGAAGATTGCAAATCCCATACATCACAATTACATGGCACAGAAGACACTCTTAGAAAAGAGCTAAGGATACTGAAGAAAGAGGGAGAAGCCCTATGGAGGACCAGTCTTTCGGAATATTTATCGAACTTAGAGCCAAAATGGGGCACTTGGATTTTTAATAGAAAACATATTTTTGTTGATTAACTAACCATTGTAATCACAAATGCACATATTAGCACATCATTATAAAAACATGATAAAATGCGACTTCACGTTCTATTGGGTCGTTTGGAAAATATAAACCATAAATATGTTTATGGAGAAACCCAAAATGGAATTTCGAGCTATCTATAGGGTTTGGAGGGAAGAAACGCTGGTGGTCGTGTATGTACCAGATAAATTTATCAACTGCAACGAAAAACATCTGCTAGGACCACTAACGAAGCAGACCTTGCTGCAGATTCAGCAGGGCAACCAGGATATTCGAAGCTGTCACGCAACACCCCTCAGGTGTGCAGGTGTAGTGCATCCTACTTCCAGTCCCGCGCTTCCAGCCAGTTGAGACAACTGGACTAAGTGCGACAACTAGCATAAACTTCACACTTAGAAGTATCAGGCCCTATACACCTTCCGTAATATGCAGCACTTAGCCATGTGTCAAAAGAAAGCGACCTTCGGCATGGCATTTTCCAAACCCAGTAGCAGACAACCCCTACCCAGTTGTGGTTTGACTCCAGGTCGCACCAACACCTGCCCACACTGCCTCAAACCCACATGCGCCGAGGCGCAAAACTGCCAACCACAAGCACAAACTCCCCATCCAACGGCTCACATGGGCCTCCCCAACTGAACGAAGGGCCAAGAAGTTCCACCGTCCCCTCACAAACCAGCTCTACGCGACTCGACGTGGGTTGTTTCTCCCACATGCTTGCCTCAATCTCCAATTCTCATTTCCCAAACAGATGCATTCCTCCTTGCAATTGAAAACACCTCCACCTATCCCTACCTCCATACTACAGCTTGGAATTGCTTTCGATAACTCGGTTGCTCGTCCTGTCTCTCCGTCACTTCACAACGCAGCATCCTACTACGAAACTTGAGAGACGAGTATAGATCTCTGCTAGGATCAGTCACGGTGCTTCGCAACAGAAGTTCGTCTAGTATCTGAGAAAGGTCTTCAAGACAGCGAAGTTCGCTCCATGGCTCGCGCAAGTGTGTTCGCAGCGTCAGCGCTTGTGGCGCTGCTCTGCACGGCGCTCTGCGCCGTCGCGCAGCTCCGCCCCGGCTGCATCCAGAAATACACGTGTCCGCAGCGCACAACGCGGTTGTGCGGCGTGTGGAAGACGTGCAACGTCGTGAGCGACTGGAACCAGGTCGACAGCTACGTCGTCTGCGACAACTGCGCGTATCTCCCCAAGTTCGACGCGCCGGAAGCCACGTGCAACTTCAAATACGGCCGCTGCATGAATAACACCATCGTACGTGTTTTTGTTTTGCTTGCCTTTTCACTCCTGGCGGCAAAAAGCGGCTTTCTTCTGTCATTCCGGAATTCACGCTTCTCCCACGATTAATACGATCGACGCACGCCCGATTATTCGCGCCGTTATAGCATGATCGCTCGCCCCTGCTTACGTCTGTCGCTCATGCTCTCCCTCCCGTTTTCTCCTCCTCAGGACGGCAAGACGTGCAAGAAGGGCGACAAATGCGGCGACCCCAACTTCAAGTGCATGCCCATCAACGGCTATGGCGGCGTCTCCATTCCCCACCGCTGCTGCCGGACCACGTGTCCCCCCGGCCTCTGCGGCACGGGAAACAAGACTCTCAACTACAGGAACCTCTGCGGGTACACCATGAATTGCCCCACCAACTGCCCCGAGGAAGCGGCCAGGAAGAAGTAGACATTACTGGTCACGAGCCGTTACCAGCGGCTGGAGCGGCAGGTGATCAGGATCAGGTGACGAGGCGATAGTGTTTACTCGGAGGCTACACTCCGCAACCACCCTGCTGTTATGCCCAGACAGCTGGATGGTTGCAAATAAAGCCAGCTGCGTGCGATTCTCGCGGCGATTGGGTCGTAGCATCGCAGGCCAGCTCATGTATTATGAACGAAGTACTGAACGCTCTCTTCATTAAGATATGCGTTGCGTCTATTTTCTGTAAACATCATCAATTAATTCTTCCCGAAAGCTCACCACGTTTCGCCTTTGCTATTTCCGTGGATACCGTGACATCTGTACCACCAGCTAGGGAGCATATGTGATTTCGCTGGAAACAGCATGTCAATAAGACTGGTATGTGAAAAAAGAATGCTGTTCAGCTACTCTCATCAGATCATCCTACAAAGCCAGCGAATTTAACGTCTTTAAATCGTTACCTATGCCCACGATCAATGTCCTTAGCCTTGGCACTTGATCCTCTAGGCACCACACCCTCATTTCTTGCAGTCTCGTTGTCCATACGATATGCCTGCGTTGAAATTGGGCGCTTAGTGCACCGGGCTTACACAAGGGGTGTTAAATAGGGGGCTTATGACAATACAATGTCAGCTTGAGATGGGCCCTAGGCTACCTATCCATTGTAATTAGGACGTAGAAGCAAATATTGCAAAGACGATGCACGGCATCACTTTCCTAACCTAAGATAGGCGAATCTTGAATCTGCTTATTTATTTAATTAATAATTTCATACCTACCGCAGCTTCCTAATCAGGGTATATCGAACATTTCGACAAACTGCATCAATCAAGATTTGTTCTTATGAGCAAGTCATTGTAACAAAGGCCACATTACACGATTTGGGAGGACTACCGCTACAAGGGCAACCTATCTCTGGATGATGCATCAATTTTTGCCAGGAGATGAGGACCGAACTGCAGGAACGCATGACAGGTGTTATGTGTGGCCTTTGTACAGTTGTTTTGTATCGGTTGTGGCATCCAGCCAATCCAGGGAATGGGGCGCTGGAGAATGGTCAGGTCAGGTGTGCGCTTGCGACGCAGGTGTTTCTCTACCTGCGACGCCATCCCGGACACAGAGCTTCGACACCTGCATCAAGCTGATTCTAGTAAGGTGCCGTTTACATTGCACACGTTACCGGTTGACTCGTGGTTTAGACCATTGTTTAGGCCATTCTGGCCAACCCAAACCCTTCCATCCAGCCCTTCATTCCCCGCTAAACGATCCCCGCTCGGTCCTCCTCGCTTGGCACAGTAAGCCCCAGGGAAAACACCTGATCGCTGGGGTCATGGTGCTCTTGCTTGTTTTGCATTGCAACGGCGCTGCCCGCGGCACAGAGTGCGCCGTCTACCACAGTAATATTTTCCGTCAGATGCGGCTGTACATGGCATGACAATTCTTGGGGAATTCCTGCCCGCCATCAGCGAATGTACGATTGGACTGACAGACGCAGCAACACACAAAACAGCAGAGACAGGCAAAAGCAGGAGTAGCTGGCCACACAACACGCAGACAGACAGAACTCTGTCATTCCACATTCACTCCGTCCGTCACAGTCGAATTGCTCCAGCAGACTACAAGCACTAACGGGTTCTGTTCCATCAGCCAGATTCTCCGTCGAGCAGGAGGGCTGGTGGTCCGTCTTCCCCAAACTCCCCCATTCCCAACCCAGTGAGCTCCGTGCTCCGTCGTCCGTGTTCCGTGTGCCATTCTTCCCAAGCCAGAGTCTCGACACGCTCTGGTCCCTCGCCTTTCTCCCTAGGTTCTTCCGAGTTGTTGTTGAGTAGCCCGCGTCGAAACTCGAAGTCGATCGAGGGTTTCCAGGTGCAGTTTAGGCTGTCGTCGAATCTTACCGTACAGGGGGGAAATAGGGAATACCAAGGCAAAAGCCGCGTCAGCGTTAGCACGACAAAAAAGGAGAAAGAGAAAGAGAGGGGGAAAATAGAAAAAAAACCACAGTTTTACTCTGCTTCTATCATCGCTCCTCGCGTTTCGCGAGTCATGTCGATACTCTCCACCCTCCACGCGCTCCCCACGCTGCTGCTGCTCGTCCTGCTCACCGTTTTCACCTGCGGTCCGAGCGCCGTCGTGGCGCAGGTGCGGCCCGGGTGCGCGAACAAGTACCAGTGTCCGAAGCGCGAGACGAGGCAGTGCGGCGTGTTCTATAACTGCATGCCCGGATCCACCGCCAACATTGAAAAGGCCTCTATTACCGTCTGCGGCAGCTGCTCCTACAACGAGCCGTGAGTGTGACTACAGTGGGGCGTCAGTGTGACTACAGTGAGCCGTCAGTCGCCATCTGCCGAATGTGCAGCGAGTAGTAACCGGTGGCCGCGGGTTACTGGTGGCTACAGTGGGGTGAATTCTGAGTGCGATGTCGTCAACACTTCGATGCCTGCTTTGCGTCGCATTGCATTAAGTACTAATAAAAATTGGAGTCAGTGAGGTTTCCATGCGACTGAGCAAATGGTGTTTCTAGGCGATTGGAGTCAGGGGTTTTTTTGCGAATGGTGGACTGCCGACGCTATCGCTGTCAGTGTCGATGGAGGCGCTGATGGTTCCCGATACCCTACAAACCCTCTCACCTCTCTTCTCTCCCCTCCCCATTTTCTCCGTTCCTTATTCCTTCTCTCCCCACGTCCCCCTACTATTTCCCCCCCACAACCCCACCCCCCCTCTCCGCTCTCTCCCCCTCCCGCTCGCTCGGCGGTTTTGATCTGCAGCAAGGCGGCGTTCGCATCGGTGTGCAACTTCCAGTACGGCCGATGCGTCCCCAATACTATCGTACGTGCCTCTCGTTCTCTTCGTGTTTCGTCCTCTATACAAGGAATCATGCCTCCCATGTATGCTTTGTACCCACTTATACCGAGGATGCGAGGACGATGGGTTGGAGGCTAGGGCCCTAGGATAGAAGCACAAGGATGTCAAGGAGCTCCCCCACGGGAGGAAATGTACTTGGACTATATTTGATGTTGTGCTATAAATGTCTCTGCGGTTTTCTCTAACGGCAGGATGGCAAGGTCTGCACAGCACCCGCGCAGTGCACGGCTCCAGGTGTTACGGAATTCTCTTGCCGCCCAGTGAAGTCTAACAAGAAGCTGAGCCGATGCTGCAGGTGAGTCGTTTGTCGAGCGTCTTCTAAAGCGACTGTCTTGCCAACCGCTTCTACTACGAGCGGGTTGCTATGTTCTTTTCCGAAATGCCCAATTTCCCATGCAATGCATGCCATACGCTAGCGCTAGTTGTAGCCATGTTTGTTCAACAGGTTATTTGCTATGCGCATCTCTCCTTGTTGCTGCCAGCACATGCTGTCTAGCCAATCCTCTTATGGTTTCAACTATTTGGACTCGCTCTTACCTTCTCTTAACCACTTCGATTCACTTTCCTCCATGCCTTGCTTTGTTTCCTGCTTACACTCCTGCCCTACTTTCAGGACCAAGTGCCCGCCTGGCATGTGCGGGGCTAGGAAGAAGCCTCTCAAGTATACGAATGCATGCGGCGAGCAGATTGTGTGCCCTGGAGTGTGCCCCCAATAGGTTGTGGTTGCCAGACTTGTGATTTGTGTTCCTACTCCCAGCCACGTACGATATGTTAGGGACGTGCCAGGGTATGGTTTGTCCAATATGTTGTATTTGTATTGTGTAACAGTAATGTTTTGCAGCACGTAGTGAAGCTCTGTATTTCAATGAGTTGGTGTTCGCTTGTGCATAGTTTAGATATGTTTGTTATAACCTAGCTAGGGTAGCTCGTAGAGGGGACAACACATTGTACTTGTATCTCCCCTCCTTGTCAACATATCTATATATTGTTATAGGGTAGATAGTTGCATGCTTATAGCGAGTACAGCACCATAGCACAAAACCTGCCTGTATGCCTCATTCTAGTCATTGCGTTATTCAAAGATGGTATCACGCTAGGTTAGGTCCCCCCTCCCCGCTTATGCTTAGGCCCCTAGCCCGTGTCCTTGCCGTGCCCTAGCCCGAGCCACGCCCGCGCCCGTGCCCTAGCCGTGCCCGAGCCGCCTGCGCTGTCCGCGCCAACCACGCCGCCCGCGCCGTCCGAGGCCGAGCCCGTGCCGTCCGTGCAGGGCCTCAGATTGCAGGCTTTTTACCCTGATTCAGGGTAAAATCAGGGTTTTTTTCGAAGGTGACCCTGATGAGACAGGGTTTTTTTTAAATACGGGCCTGAAATTTCAGCGTTTTTTTGAAGTGAACTCAGATTGATCAGTGTGAATAGTGTAGTGAGGCCTGTTTTTCCAGCGTCGTATTGGGGACCGTGTCAAACGTATATATATATATACCTCATGTTTGTATAGACTGTATAGGGTCACCTCTTAGAGGGTACAACACTCTTAGGTATATTCCCTTGTACTATCATTCTACTAACAATTCTTCAGTTCTAAGATGGTATCAGCAGTAGGTAGGTCCCACCGCTCGCCCACGCTTCCGCCCTAGGATCTACCCCCGTGCGTCGCGCCCCCTAGGCCCCGTCGCGTCACCTAGGACCAGTCGCGCCCCCCCCTGGGCCCGTCGCGCCCCCCTGGGTCCCGTCGCGCCCCCTAGGCCCCGTCACGCCCCTCCTGGGCCCCGTCACGCCCCCCTGGGCCCCGTCGCGCCCCCTGGGCCCCGTCGCGCCCCCTGGGCCCCGTCGCGCCCCCCGTTGGTGCCTCCTGGCCCTGTCGCGCGACTCCTAGCCCGTCGCGCCTTACCTAGCCTGTCGCGCCTTTCCTAGCCTGTCGCGCCTTTCCTAGCACGTCGCGCTTCCTAGTCCGTCGCTCCAGCCCCGCGACCGTCCCAGCCGCCCCCGCGACCGTCCCAGCCGGCCCTGCGACCATCCCAGCCGGCCCCGCGACCGTCCCAGCCGGCCCCGCGACCGTCCCAGCCGGCCCCGCGACCGTCCCAGCCGGCCCAGCCGGCCCCGCGACCGACCCAGCCGGCCCCGCGACCGTCCCAGCCGGCCCCGCGACCGTCCCAGCCGGCCCCGCGACCGACCCAGCCGGCCCCGCGACCGACCCAGCCGGCCCCGCGACCGTCCCAGCCGGCCCCGCGACCGTCCCAGCCGGCCCCGCGACCGTCCCCGCCGGCCCCGCGACCGTCCCTGCTGGCCCCGCGACCGTCCCTGCCGGCCCCGCGACCGTCCCAGCCGGCCCGCGACTGTCCCAGCCGGCCCCGCGACCGTCCCTGCCGGCCCCGCGACCGTCCCAGCCGGCCCCGTGCCCTGTCCCGGCCGCCCCAGCACCTGTCTCAGCCGGCCCCGTGCCCGTCCAGGTCGCCCCTGCACCTGTCCCAGCCGGCCCCGCGTCTGTCCCAGCCGGCCCGCGCCCGTTCCTGCCGGTCCCGCGCCCGTTCCAGCCGGCTCCCGCGCTCGTCCCGGCCGGCCCCGCGTCGACTTCCGGCCCTTCCTCGCCGGCCCTCCGACCGTCCGTTCTGCACTCTCCCTGGTACGGTTCTCCACCCCCCCCTGCACCGCACTGTACCGCCCTGCACCGCACTGCACCGCGCTGCACCGCACTGTACCACACTGCACCGCACTGTACCGCACTGCACCGCACTGCATCGCACTGCACCGCACTGCACTGCACCGCCCTGCACTGCACTGTTCCTGATGGTGGCGGAGCTTCGCTTTGACGCTGACGGCCAGCCTCTTGAGTTCGAGGCGTGGCTTGCGGACCTCCGATGCCACCTCACTGGACAGCGGCAGGATGGTCACTCGCTTTCGGCACACCTTGACGGTACGCTTCCCTGCCCAGACCCTCCTGTTGTGCTGCCCGTTGACCCCACCTCCGCTGAGCGCGAGTCTGCTGCCGCTGCTGCCCTTGCTCGCTCTATCTGGCTTTCCCGAGACGCTAACGCGCAGCTTGCCATTAGCAATGCCCTACCCCTGTCTGAGCGTCCCCGCTTTAGGTCTATCACTACCGCTCAGGCCTTCTTAGATGCTGTCATCAACCGCTATTCCACCCTGCCTGCTGCATCCGTAGGTCGCCTGGTCCTCCCTATGCTCTTTCTAGACCTTGCGTCTTTCCCCACTGTCGCGGACCTAGCTGCCCACCTGCGCACTATAGACGAGACCTGGCGCGCTGCCTGCACTGCCGCACAGCTTAGCGCCCACCAGTCGCCCATGACCCCTACCCTCTACCTGCTTGCCACCCGTCTCCCTGACCGCTTTGCCGCCGCTCGCGACCAGTTCCTTAGCATTCACCCTGGTGACCTCACCCTCACAGACTTTGTAGACACACTGACTGTGATTGAGGCCCGCCACCGCTCCATCGCCCAGGCGAGCGGCACTGTGCCGATCCCTATCTTTCAGGGTTGTGCCCCCGCTCAGTGCACCTTCTCCGATGGTTCTGCTGCTGTGGCTGAGACCGCTGCCGTAGCGCAGTTCCGTTCGGGGAAGGGCCGCCGCCCCAAGGCTGGGCGCGGTGGAGGAGGAGGGGGTGCAGGTGGGGGTGGTGGTGGAGGCGGACCGTCTGGTGCTGGAGCGGACGAGGTGACCCCGCCCGCTCCAGCTGAGCAGTTGTCGCCGCCGTCGCAGCAGCCGCAGCAGCCGCACTAGTCGCAGCAGCCGAGGCAGGCGAGTGCCCTCCCGCCCGGGTGGCCTGGAGCTGGTGGTGGCCGTGCGCGTGGTGGTGTGCCAGGTGGTGGGTCCGGAGGCGTGCGCTGTCGATACCAGATCCAGACCGGTCCTCGCCGCGGCTTCGTTTGCGGTAAGCTCGGTCACTCCACTCCTCGCTGTTTTCGTCGCCTGGACGACCTGTTCCACCAGCGCTTCGGCCCGTCGCCCGACCTCGCGGACTGGCACAGTTTGCTTAGTCGTAGGGTTCAGATCTTTGACTTGGACATGGATGCCATTGTAGCTGCCCTGCATGTGATGTATGCTGATGACTCTAGTGTGCTTCCCTCTTATTACCCCTTGTTGCCTAGTGTAGGTGTGCCTAGCTTAGACTCCCCTGCTGCGTCAGGCGTAGGATCTCATGCCTTGTTAAGCCTCGGTGCTTCTGCCGTCGCCCCGTCGCCGGACGCCACTGCCTCGCTTTCCTTCACCTTGGACTCTGGCGCTTCCCGGTGTTTCTTCCGCGACTCCACTACGCTGACGCCGCTTCCTGCTCCTGCTGCCGTTTCTCTTGCTGACCCCTCTGGCGGTCCAGTAGTCGCCCGCAGTTCCACCACCCTTCCCTGTCCGGCGGTTCCTTCGGGCTCTCTCACAGGTCTGCATATCCCCTCGTTCTCCAGGAACCTAGTTGGTGTCGGCTGCCTCCAGGACCTTGGCATCACCACTACGTTCCCTGGTCACGAGCGGTATGCTGTCTGTACCGAGGCCGCCACTGGTGCCCCCCTTACCACGTTCCCCCGGGACCCGCTGTCCGGCCTGTTCACACTGGACACTGTGCCTTCCCCGACTGGGGCGTCCCCCCAGGTGGCTGTGTCTACCCAGGTTGCTGCTGAGTGCTCTTGTCGGTCCCTCACCCACCCGACTCTCTTGTGGCACCACCGCCTAGGTCACCCTGCGCTCACGCGTCTGCGTCACATGTCCCAGCACGGTCTCGTCCTTGGTCTCCCTGGTTCGTTCCCTGAGTTTCCCTCCTCCCCCGCCCCACCGTGCACGCCTTGTGTCGAGGGCCGGCTTCGCCGTGCCCCTCACTCCTCCTCGTTTCCCCCTATCGCTGCGCCGTTGCAGACCCTGCACATGGACGTCTGGGGCCCTGCCCCTGTCCATGGGCCGCGTCGAAAGCGCTACTTCCTCGTGCTTGTCGACGACTTCACTCGCTACACCACAGTCTTTCCCTTGGAGCGAAAGGCTGACGTGCCTGACGCTCTCATCCCCTGGCTTGTCTCTGCCCGTGTCCACCGCGGTCTCCCTGTCTTGCGTCTTCACTCCGACCGTGGTGGCGAGTTCGCCTCAGGTGTCCTTGGTCGCTTCTGCCGTGCGGAGGGCATCACCCAGACGTTCACCCTGCCGGACTCCCCATAGCAGAATGGGGTTGCTGAGCGCCGCATCGGTTTGGTCATGGAAGTGGCTCGCACCTCCATGATCCATGCCGGTGCACCCCATTTTTTGTGGCCGTTCGCTGTGCGCTACGCTGCTCACCAGCTTAACCTGTGGCCGCACCCCCAGCGGCCGCAGGTTTCGCCGACCCGTCTTTGGACCGGGTCTCCTGGTGACGCGTCTGTGTTCCACGTCTGGGGCTGCCTGGCTCACGTTCGTGCCTCCGGCACGGACAAGCTCACTGCCCGCACCCTTCCCTGCGTCTTCCTCGGTTTTCCTCTTGACGCGTCCGACTGGCACTTCTACCACCCGGCGTCTCACCGCTTCTTTCACTCTCGCGACGTCACCTTTGACGAGTCCATCTCCTTCTACCGTCGTTTCCCCTATCGCGGTCCCCGGTTACTCCCCCCCTGTTCCTGGTCTCTCCTTCCCAGGTGGTCCCTGCCCCTCCTCCTCCTCCTCCCCGTCCTGCCCCCTCAGGTGTGTCCCACGTAACCCCTCTTCCGTCGGTTGTCCCAGTTGAGGAGTCTTCGGACTGTGGTGGTCCTGCGGCGCAGTCCTCGCCGTCTGCCCCTCCCCAGGTGTCTCCGCCTCCACCGCCTCTGCCGCCGTCGTCGCCTCTGCTGTCCCTGCCTTCGTCCCCTCCACCGCACCCGTCGTTGCCGCTGCAGCCTCCGCCGCCGTTG